AAAGGGAAGGGAGGATGGTCCCGCTTTAGGGACGTATTGTGGAGGTTCTATTCCATTTTCTGAAAATATGAATCGATTGGTAAGATATATTTTATAAAAATAAGACACTTAATGGTAATTGGGTTGATACTAAATATAAAATTTATTACACTTGTTCTTTGAATATTATAGTCTAAGAAGAAAGGAGCACCTGTGTCGTTGGATGAGGTTATCATCCACACAAAAACGAAGAAACATGATGGTCAGTCTTGGGTAGATCCAGTTGTTGCTGAATTGCAGGTACATGTCATTTTTTTACTTGTTTGTGTTGTTTTTGTAATGTTGTTGTTGTTCAAACATTTGTTTCTTTATTTTTCTTTTCTATTTCTTTAGTTGTTTTGTTGTTGTGGAGTTAATAGATTAAGTATGTATGGCTTTTTCCTAATCTCACATGGATTTACATCTTTCTCTTCGTTATCTTCTTAGTGTCTCAAGTTATTTATTAATTGAGTGCTTCTAAAATACGAGTCTTTTTTATGGGACTGGGTGAGGGTGGAGGGGGGAGTACAATGCTCAACCATAAACAAACCCGTTATGGTTCGTGTCTCTCTTGTGGTTAGTGTGAGTTTACATCGCATGTTGAATATGTATGTAGCACATTACTTCACAGTGATTGGCGAGAGGAAGTTTACCTGAAGTTGCTCTCGTGTGTTTTATGTTTGTCGTCTGCACAAGTCTCGGTTTTGTGAACTTTTTAGGATTAGGTCAAATCAAGTTGTCTTAAAGATAAGAAACCTTTGTGCATAAAACTATATGTACACCATGACCTAGATACTTGCATTTCAATCATTATGATCTATTTTACGGAAGAGAAATGTGAAGTTAAGAGGTGGGACAAAAAGGGGGACATGCACTTGTTGTTATGTGTGATATGTAATTAAGATTGTTACGAGTGTTGTTATTGTTTATTATTAACTGTCATATGTTGCAGGCTCAATTTTTGGAGTTGCGGGAGGAAGCTAGAAAAAAAGGGCTTAAAGTCACCGACGAGCAGATATGGTACTCACTTGTCGAGGGCCATAATGCCAAGAATCGCGTGCCTGGAGTCGGTGACTACGAGCATGAAATGAGGAAGATGAATCAGTCTTCGAAACCTCGACGTTCAGCCAAGACTAGCAGCAGCGCAATGGAGATTGCAGCACTTAGGGCGAAAAATGAAAAACTACAAGAAGAATTTGATAATTTGAGATCGAACTTGACGTTGATCATCCATGAAGAGTTAAAAAAACTTCTTGGTGGTAACCTTCCTCCACGAAGAGATGATGATGGTACGGGAGGGTCAGGACATCTTGAAGCTATTATTTAGATATATATGTAGAACATCTTTACATTAAGAATTTCAAGTTTAACGTAAGATTACAATGGATTATGTTATATTTATATGACATTCTATGTTTTTATTAATGTTCTTTGAATTTAGTTACAAAATTGCATTTTGTCCCCTGTTGTGAATGCATTTTGTTCTCTAATCAGTACCTACAAAAGAGGGAAAATTGCAGAAACTGGGAGCAGCTTCAGAAAATTTGCAACGGATCTGCCACGGAAACCAAAGTCCGTCGCAGAACTATTGCTTGCATAAGCTGAAAGTAGGATCCGTGGCAAATCTGCCACGGAAAAAACGTCCGTCGCAGAATATCAAAAATAGGACGCAAAAAACATCCGTTGCAAATCTGTGGCAGATCTGCCATGGAAAACGTTTTCCGTCGCTGATTTTGAATTTGCCCCAACTTTTTTGCGACAGCCTGTTTTCGTCGCGGGTCCGTAGCAGATTATCCGTCTGCCACAGAATTTCAGTTTCTGCCACAGATTTTTTCTGTGGCAAATCTGTCCATTTCTTGTAGTGATTAGAGAGAATACACGTTGATGACGATGAGGAGAACACGGGAATATACACCAACACGCAGTCGCAAACTGAGGAGATACCTCAAGCAACTAACCAAGGTGATGAAGAAAATCAAGAGGAAGAAGAAGAACAAGAGGAACACGAACAAGAAGCAACCGAGCTTCCTATTGCATGGAGAACAAACAAGAACCATCCGCTTGACCAGGAAATCGGCAGCATCAACCGCGGGGTAAGCAGTCGTAACTCACTTAGGGACACCGTAGGACACATGGCTTTTGTTTCTCAAATTGAACCTACAACCATTTCCGAAGCAATAAACGATGAACATTGGACCTTGGCTATGCAAGAGGAGCTAAACCAATTCAAACGGAATGACGTTTGGGAATTGGTGCCAAGACTCGATGATCGTACGGTTATTGGTACGAAATGGGTGTTCCGTAACAAACTTGATGAAAATGGAATAATCACTATAAACAAAGCTAGGCTCGTAGCTAAAGGCTACAATCAAGAAGAAGACATTGATTTTGAAGAAACATATGCACCCGTAGCACGTTTAGAAGCTATTCGTTTACTTCTTGCTTTTGCTTCGTCTATGGATTTTAAACTTTATCAAATGGATGTTAAGAGTGCCTTCCTCAATGGTTTTATTCAAGAGGAAGTGTATGTTGACCAGCCCCCGGGGTTTGAAGACTTTGAGTTTCCCGACCATGTCTTCAAACTCAAGAAAGCGCTCTAC